AGAGAGAGAGAGAGAGAGAGAGAGAGAGAGAGAGAGAGAGAGAGAGAGAGCAGAAACAAAAATACCAGTTGGACACTATGCCGCGCCATCGATCGGTGGAAATGACACAGTTAAAGGGTTAAAAAGCGAGGGCTCGACCGTGGCCGGATGGCGTACAAAGGATCGAACTTTCTATTTTGACAGAATCTATTCCGACTCTCTTCTCATTCGTTTCCTCGCGCGACCACCGAACTGTCTGATATTGTTTTAAAAGATTGGAAAGAGTACGTCGCGCAATAGACGTGGAGAGGCAATATTCTGAAATACGTCGAGGTAATAGTGGGTTATATCCAAGGATCAAGTGTGTCGAGGCGAAACATCGTCAAATGACGTATCCAATCAATATCGCAGTTAGTTATCAATGCGTTGGCTACAGCGCTGACTTCCACTGATTATTTCAAAGCTCAACCAAAGCGCTTGAAATCCGAATTTTTGAATAATAACCAAACATACGATAAATAGATGCAACTCGCAGTATGTATTTATTAGCTTCTCGAATGAAAACTTTGATTTTAACTCTGCGGATTTCGTTGAAAACATGAAGATTTAACGAAAAATCATCAAAACATGCAGACTATCGTTTTCTGATGCTGCAAAAAAATAATCATTTTATCACAGTTTCGTTAAGGCATAAAGAAGCACTTATTTATGAATTATTTAATATATTATTATTTTAATAATCCAGCTATATTTAATCTGTTTTAATGTTTAATTTCAATACACAGCAGTAAATATAGCAATAGAGATTATTGCATTACAAACAAGTATTAAATAATATTTAATTACTTAAGTAATTAAATAATACTTATTACTTCTACGGAAGTTTAATAGATTAAATTGGCGTTAGAAATTTCGAAGAGTAGACTAGAAGAGTAGTATAGAATTTATAGACTTAAAAGAACTGAAAAAGAGAGGGGAAGTTGTTCACCGTTACATTCTGCGACCTGTAATCCGTCCCAAAGTCAGCTTGTGATCGTCTGGCGCTCAATGCACATGAAAATACTAATCAATCAGAAACGCGGCGGTAATTGATAATCGCATGTTAACTGATGGTAATCCTTGAATGCCACGAGCGACGCTTTCGATATGTACGTGAGCATTTTGCGTGTTTCGAAAAACAAATAATTTAGCCGCTTCGAAATAATTCAAAATATTGCGAGAATGATTGCTGTGACTGTACGCGAACGTAACGGACGGCGGCAGTTGTTGAGGGGGAACGACTAGTTTGTTTTTGTTCATTGTTTTGGTACTCGTTCGCGCGTCACGTACGCTTCGTGATCGAGTCATTACGTCTCGAGCCGACCAGCGCCACGCACATATTTCGACGCGAAGTATTCGTGCGATTTCTTTAATTCTCGTCGGGTGAAATTAGAATATTTTGCGATGGTTTTTGAGACATTTAATCCTCGTCGGGTTCTCGTCGGTTTCTCGTCGAGTTCTCACCAAATTCTCGTCGGCATCGTGTTAATTAACACGCGCTTCTTCGATTGAATCGTACTTGCGCGAGTGTGAGTGAACCACGGAGCAGACAGCAGTAGGATGTTGGTTCGTGTTAAGACGGAGGACGTAGGATGTCGAGACGGCTGGCGATACATCATGTATTTCCAGGTGTGTTAAATCATTTATTGTACGGGACATTTTAGGAGCTTGGCGCGAATAAAGAGATGCTCGAGTCGAAATTTAAAATCTACTCTAAGATTGGCATTTAAAAAAAATAGTTCTCATTTAATCAATAATCATAACTTGGTGAATCTCTGATTATCAGTTCATATTTATTTCATGCGAGAGATATCGATGCAAACGAAATACCGAATAACAGCCCTTAAATATAAATCTGCAATTAATTATATTCTCAATCAAAGATTATAAATAATTTACAACTACAAATTGCAAATACTAATATTTTTTTCTGTAGTAATGCTCCGTTAGACGCGACTTTTAACTTGATCAACACTTTTATCACTTCTTTTAGTTTAGTTTTGTTGTTGTACCGAATCCATATTTAAAGTCTTGCTAATATTAAGTTCTTGTTGATGTTGAACTACCGTCTTTGTCTTTACAACTCCTTTCTCAGCTCTTTTAAGAACTTAAAATTTTATCGTAATTTGCAAAACCAAGCAGTAAGTAAACATTTGCAGCATCAAGATAGAACAATAACAGTGAATATAGTAGTGATAGAATAATGCCACACAGTATTATATCTGAAGATTTTCTATTGATTTTTCAAGTTGTGCGATATTTATAGGATTCGTGTAGAATCAAAATTTTAACTCGAGTTGTCTCTTTGGCTCCTTATTCGCTGCGTACTTATTTATTATATGCAATTGCTCATGCATAAATTAATAAAATGCGGCAGTATGAGGTCGATCGACTTTTACGACAGTCAAGGTGTTAAGGAGTGGTCTATTCCGCGCAAATACAGTACGAATATACATTTTCAGTCATAAATTACGACTCGATATAATATTGTCATGTAGTTGTTATTTATTTGGTGAAATTGAAGAAACTCTGTCACTCAGTTCGAAGAATTGTCTAAAGTGCCGCAACGTCGCGGCCGGAATGTCGATCTATTGTTTTACTTGCGCCGCTGACGGGACTTTCATGCGGGAATATTCTTGACTCTAACCCCGAAATTGCACTTGCAGTTGCGCTTCTCTGAAATTACACATTCGCTCGGCGAATGCGATTGTTTGACTTTGCCTGCAGTCTGTTTGTTCTTGTAAAACTCAATATCGTCCACGCTGCGCCCGCTATCAAATACAAATACTATGAACTCCCACTTGTGCAATGACCAAATATCTGGTAAACACATGTCGAGCACTTTGCGCGAGAGGCGTCTTTGTGCTATGTGATTCGCGTGAAGTATTATTCCGATTTTCCCTTTGTATCCCTGAAACTAATAATTCCACCAAAGTATGTAACGAGTAGGCATAAGTGCGCTTTGCCTTTGCGCGTAACAGTATGCGCTTTTTACGGCTGATCTCGTGCGCAAAGTGCTTGGGAAATATGCGAAAACGTGTACGTCGGCAGCGCATTGTTTAATTGTTTAACGGGTCAATTAGATTTCAATACCGCGTGGCAAAAAGTGGCTATAATAATATAATCGATAGTGTATATGTCTCCGATTGAACACCGAGTTCCCTTGGCGCGATAGTAGTTTGTTTTTTCCACCAACGCGCACGCGGCAACGCTTGATTGTTTCCCGCCACGAGGACCGTTTCCGATGCATTGTTATTAGGAAAAATGCAGTTCGCAGTTGCAGTGAACTCGGTGCGGACTCGGTCGTTTTCTCGTGTACAAAAGATGTGCGGAGAGAATGTAGAATATGGATAAGATGGACGCGTAGAGGTCGATTTTTCGCTCTCTTCGCTCACACGTAAGGTTTCCCGAAGCCCATGGGAAGCTAGGTAAATTAGGGCCGAAGTTGTTATTGCGTTCGAGATCGATCGCGGTAGGCATCATTGGCATTATTTTATCTCGTGCAGGCGACGTAACCCGCAATCTCGCGTTCTCATGTACGCTGAAGCATCGCACCGTGAAGGATCGATAGCACGCGCGTCACAGCCATAATCAAGCACGGCCATTTAGGCGGCTATTAACCCGATTTTCGCGCTACGTTTCGCTACTTATTCCTGGCAGACAATGCCAGGATGTTTGCCGGATAACCGTGCGGGAGTGAAGAAAACCAGTCACTATTTTGCGCGATGTTACCTGCGCCGCAATGGCGCCATAAAGGCGAATCTGGTTAACGTTCGCATCCGACAGCCGGCTCGTAGCCGGCGCAAAAAGAGCCCTTGCTCGTTCGCGTCCCGGTCTTCTTCGTCCGTAAGGATGCCGGTTTTCCGCGCATTCGTCGAGAATTAGGAGTGTACTTTGCGCTTAGAGTAAACATCGTCGTCACGACGTGACCGCGAAAAATGCAAATTCGAGTTATGCATTCATCTTGATTACTTATGATAATGCGCGCTGTAATGCAGAATGATTAATGGGCCATCTCGTGTTTTTACCTGCGATATTTTATGTGCGGTATCAGCCGCTAGTCCGCCAACATTCATGAATTAACTAATTACTTTGAATGAGAAAACTCGCGCGACTCAATATCCGTTATGTTAAATATTTTCGCGTCATGCGGGAGCCAATCTTTTTCGTTTTCTCCTTTTTGTTTAGGCGATTATTAGATAAACATTTGATGTGTGCGAAGAAATGGCTCGCGCGAGATCCTTTTTTTTCTCTCTACGCTTGCTGCACCGACAATTTCCCGCAAGTGTTTAAAAATTAACGGCTGGTGCTGCAACTATCGTGAAAAGTTGGGTTTCACTGATATTACGCGAGTTTAACTGTTCTCGACTACCCGACAATTTATCCGGGGAATTCAGAAGTTTTCTATCCAACAGTTAATCCGGTCAACTGGCGAGTACGTCGCTCCCATGAAATATTGGGAGAGAGTTGACAACAGTTTTATCGCCGTTTGTTTGTCCCATCAATCTAAACACAATTCGATATTTTTTTTGTAGTTGGAAAATCGATTAATCCCTCGGTACATCTGTTCCCGAGGTTACTACACGCTCCTCTGCATTTTAATTCGATTCCAAATTTAACCAGGACGCATTTCGCGCAGTACAAAGTTGATTCGTGATGATACGAAAAGCCGAAATTCACTGCAATGCAGCAAAAGTGAACGTCGATGTGATTTAAACCGGCAAATGGAAAACGGGATTCACAAAATGAATAAGAATGAGCGTCGGTGACTTGAAAAATTATGAGTAATCTATCACTTATAGCGCGCGTTAAAGTAAGATAATATGTCATGAAGTTATGCGCTTTTTTCTATCCGTGTCGTATAAATGTTGGTCGAAGTCAGGCTAGATTTTTCCGACGCGACAACTGAATTTCTATCCGAAATAAAACTCCGTTGACGGTAGCTGGGTTATATATCGGGTTAGCCGGGAGACTTTCATTTCTCTGTCTTCCTTTCGTCTGATAGTGACGGATGAAAGTACGGAAGAAAAATTACACGTATACTTTAAAAATAATAGGACAACTCGTCTCTACTGCGTGTACAATTGTTACAAAAAATTTATCGGATATTTTTTCGCTCGAGCTTTTATAGAGCTAATAAAAAAAAAACAGTAAAATAAAGCACAAAAAATATAGCATCCATAGTAATTTTTATTTCTTAGTCGTAATTTAATTAATCACAACATGAGATATAACGATGTCGGAACAACGGGCAGTCTCTATCGAGATATTTCCCCGAGGACACTGTTTCCGTTTCTGTTTTTCGTGTTTTAGAAATTTAAATTCGAAAATTATCAGTAGATTTGTTCGAGTTGCTTGTACTTTTCATACTTTTACACCTAACGCCCGGTGCACATTAGTGCATGGGAAACAACACAAATTTTCTAAAATATATTCTGAAGACGTTTTCAGGACGGAGAGACATCATCAGAATATTCTTAGGACGTCCTTTGAAGGTGTGAATCTTCACAATTAGTGAATTAGTGCATCCCAATTAGTGCACCCCATACAATACAAATTTTTCAAAATACGTTCTGAAGAAGATGCTTTTAGGACGGAGGGACGTCACCAGAATATTTTTAGGACGTCCTTTGAAGGTGTGAACTGTCTGAAAATAGGTAATATCCAATAAGTTTATTCGCATTAATTGAACTTTTTACACTTTTACACTTAGTGCCCATTAATTCTTTAGAGATTCTAAAAATGGCGTCATGTTTTCCGTTCGTGTTACGAGTGTAAATGCAATTCTGATACATTTTTCACTCTTGCTTGGGATCAAATGTAAAAAGTGTATCAGAATTACATTTACATTCGTAACAGAAAACATGACGCCATTTTTAGAACCTCTAAAGAATTAATGTGCACTAAGTGTGAAAGTGTAAAAAGTTCAATTAATGCGAATAAACTTATTGGATATTACTTATTTTCAGACAGTTCACACCTTCAAAGGACGTTCTAAAAATATTCTGATGACGTCCCTCCGTTCTAAAAGCGTCTTCTTCAGAACGTATTTTGAAAAATTTGTATTGTATGGGGTGCACTAATGTGCAACGGACATTAAGTGTAAAAGTGTGAATAGTAACTCGAACCAACCTAGTGATAGATCTTAGGACACGTGTCGCCTTTGAAAATTTCCCCACATTACGCGCGATTATTGACTGGTCGCAGTTGGTGCGTGTAATTTTCTCGCTCTGCAATTATTGCATCCCGTTGGTTTATACATAAAGCCAGCAGTTTATAGAAGAATTACGAGCACGAGTGATACTTCACGAGAGTGCCGTAGCGACGCGCATCTTCGCGCTCCCGTAACATAAACGAAGCCGTAAAAGCGGTTTATAACCCGTCAAAATTGCGCGCCCCATACCGGCGCGTACATCTCTATCGACTACTATCTCTATCGACTACTATCTCTATCGACTAGCGGCCATAGTTTCGCAACTTGAGGATTAGAGCCACCTTTCCCGAACTAATTCTCCGGGGATCGATACTTTCTTCATTTACTTTAATCTGCGAGAGATCGGGAGAGACGAGATGCAGAAAAAAACAAAAAAGAAAATAAGATTAAATTTCACTCCGTCGTTCTCTTCTCG